TGACCTAATGTCTTTAACAATATGTCTGAATATGCAAGGGGAATTAGAAATAATAGGTATATTTTGTTCTTGGATTTTGACATACAGCATCACAGTGAAATCCCTTTAAGAAAGAAGCTGGAGAACTTTTTAGTCCATTGACATGCAAATTATTTTTATATGACAAGCAAACCTATAATCTCATATCACTTCATTCTTTTCTATTATTTGTTTAAAGATCCCAGGCAATTCAGTCATTATTGCTAAGGGTGTATTCGGTTTTGAGTGAAGGCAAATCACACATCACATCATGATTTCCAAGAATTCCATGGTCATTACAACTCAAGCACTACTTTTAGAGAGAGATGTGGTGGCCAAGTGATTAGAAGGCAGTATTGCAAGCTAATTCTGCCGAATGCCAAGAGTTCGATCCTGACTTGCTCAAGGTTGACTCAGCCTTCCAACTTCTGAGGTCAGTAAAATGAGGTCCCAGATTGTTGGGGGCAATACACTGACTCTGTAAACTGCTTAGAGAGGCTGTAAAGCACTATGAAGCAGTATATAAGTCTAAATGCTGTTGCTATTTCCAGTGGTCATTTCCACAAATGAGTGGAAGTGTTGAAAATTGATTTTCAAACAATAGTTCTTGATCTGAACATTTAGTATATTCTGCACATGTTTATATAAATAGTTCATAGATTAATAACATCTGGAATATCTGCAAGTGAATCTGAGAAAAAGACCAGTCCAAGATGCATTGCCACTTGAATTGGAAAACCACATAGTCAATTGGGGATTCAGGTACATTAAAAGCTCTATATAGACATCAGTGACTATCTTCATGATCTGCCCCTTATTTCTGCCACCTGAACTATCTTTTTATCTGCTTGAAGCTCAACATGCTCCATTTTTGAAGTGAGAAGTTACTTATCTGATTAAGGCTGGAATAAGCACAAGAATGTCTGAATTTGAAATTCCTGAACTTTGAGACTCAGATATAATATCCAGGATTAAGACTAAAGGTACATATGCATGTGTGCATATGCACACACATGCACACAAAGATTATTAGCATAATATTCAATAAACTAACATTATAGGTATAATATTCATCATACAATTATAGATATAATATTCAACACAGGCACTATCCAATTGTGTTCTACTAATAAAAAGAATAAAGTTGCATATAATTTATTTCCAAGATCTTGTAAGAAACAGAGAAGTATCAGAGTAAAAATACACTAATTCTGAATAATGCGCTTTAGTTGTACGGTACTCATGAGAACAGGATCAAATCCTACTGAAGAGGATGCAAGGTAGATAGATACTCATGTCTGAACTGATTTTTTCAGGAGGGAAATAGAGGGGAAAAGAAATGATAGGCCTTATATAAATTAATCCTCCCAAGCCTTATTTATCTGATATAGGTAATTACATACCAATTAGTTTAACATCTGTAACTGCTGAGTTGTTAGCAAGAATTATTAAGAAAAAAATCATCAGTTATAAAGGCTTAGAAGACAAATCTGCATGTATTTTATGTAGGTAAGTCTTTTCCCTCTAACTTATCTTTAAGAGGTATCCACAAAACAGATAGATGTGGTAGAAGATGGAATTTTTTTATTTTAATCCTCTGACAAAGTCAATCACCAAAGGTTCTTGAGCAAATTCAGGTTATTTTATGGTTTGGTAATGACACTAAGTAGTGCATACAGATAAATGTATAATGTCCAGAAGTTTGCTAACAAATTTCCTCTGTACAAAATATAACATAAAAATGAATAACAAAAATTATTCTGGGATTGATGCACTTAAACTTGTTTATAATGATGTCAAAGGGTTTGAGACAGCAGTGAGTAATCAGAAGAGATTTTGCATGTATGGTGGCTAATTCAAGGGAAATGCCAGTTCCTTGTGTGGTAGATGCAAAGGAACAAGAGGAGAAAAATTCCATGGCAGAAAACATTAGAGATGGAGTGGCAATTACAAATACCTCCTTATAAATCTATAGTTGAATGCACTTTCCATGAAATTTCCATGAAATTCTCACCAAATCCAGAGTTGTAAAGCTGGGGGAAAGAGGTGGAAAAGGGCAGCCAAAATGGGTTTGAGCAGTTTTTTTTACACAAAGACTAACTTTGGCATATGGGGGCATTTAAGAAGAGTGATAGAGGGAAAGGGAAGAGATTCTACATAATCCAAGGAGTATGTACAATGTGAAGTGTTTTTTCTCACCTTCATTGTATTAGAACTTGGGAGTCTCCATCGACAGTGACACACAAGTGCTTCAGGTCTGCTAAAAGGAAGACTTCTTTGTAATACATAACTAAATTACATGGTCAGTCCTGATGCCACTAATTTCGATGGTTTTAAAGGAGGACTGGAGAAATTCATGGTGGACAAGTCTATTGATAGTCTTGATTTGAATCACAGGTAGCATACTTTCAATACCAGGCCAAAGAGCAACCGCTGAAGAGGGTGACCACCATCATCTCGTTTCCTTGAAAGCAGTAGGTGGTTTCTCATTTACGACACCAAATGCTGGAGAAAATATGCTTTGGCCTGAACCAAGAGGACTCTTATTCAGTCTGACAGTGCTTTAAAATGAAGCTATAGCCTTCAATATATAGGTAAGTGTATATAAAGAATTTCTTAAGCACGAGGACAGCTATGCTGATCCTTCTGCTTGTCAAAATGTGTAAGAAGATACCTCAGAATATTATATCTCAATCTATCTGAAAGGCAAGTCAAAACTCATGTGCCCATCCCCCTATTTTAGCTGCTTCATATTTTGCAGTAAAAGCCTACAAGGGGCAAATCAACCGGTCATCATCAGTTGGCTTAGCAAAGCCAAAGGAATAAAATACTCAGCCAGGAGCTGCACTCACAGACAGGAAGTAACTTTAATTAAATAGTGTGAAAGTTGAAAAGTTTTTACAGCTTGAGTTTCTGCAAAATAATTATAACAATCTCTACAGTAGTTAGGTTCTTCTTCTCTAACAATAGAACTGTACAGCGTTTGTGTCTATTCCAAAAGGTTCGGTAAGAAGTGAAAGGAAGATCGGTTCAGAGATGACTTCATTTTAGATGCAGTTGGCTACGATGGAGAGGAAGCAGACATCATTCTCACAGCCCAGCCAAGGTGAGAAATCACATTTTAAGTCTGAAACATGATCATTCCCACTTAAAGCCATATTCTGTAAAGAGTGGCATCTTTAAGAATGGACTTGGAACTCATCTATTCAGGGCAGGGAGATAATTTAAAATATAACTTTTCTTTATCACGCACTATAAATACTTGGAGAAAGAAAGAAAGTCTGTGTACTCTCACATGATCTTTGGAGGTCAAGGAAACAGGCTATACACATTCATGTAACTGTCTAAATAAAAATAATCTGTCTGACTGGGATTCCACGGAGGGCATCACTGGACAAAATATGGCTTTAATTTGATTACATTTGTGTGCCACTGTTATTTTAAGAATTAGAATAAATGTTTGGATTATAATGAAACAATACACTGATAATTCCTTATATTTTCTAGTTTCTTTATGTGTGACTATGTTCTTGTTTTTTCTGTGGGGAAAGAATATATTATGGATTTGTTTTTCTTTCTTTCTCTCTCTCTCTCTCTCTCTCCCACACCCACCCTCTTCCCTTTCCTGAAAGATCACACAGTGATATCTGAGTGAAATCCCTTGCAAAATTCATACAGGAAGCATGCACAGTTGCAGCATTGTTGCTTGTCTAGAAAAAAGTCACATTATCTTAAGGTAACAAAACAGTTCTTTTGTGCTTTTCAAAATCCTTTTTTTTTTTCAGAATGTTAGTGATGATTGACAGTTTTGATGCTCAGTACAATGTACAAGTGAAATGAATATGCTTTGCATTGTTAAGGCATCCAATCTGCTGGTTTATATTTATGGGAAAGACAGAGAAATATACAAGCAGACAAGAAAGAAAGTATTTTCATTAATTTCTATGAAGTTTCTCCCCATATTTAATGCACAAAAATGCGTCACTTCAAAGGGGAGAGATTCCATGCATATTAATAGAGTAAAACAGCTTTAGATTTTTTTTAATAAGCCTCAAAAGCAAAGAATACTTTTTAAATCTACGTAACTAAATGCTATAAGAATAATATGCTACTTTTTTGCCATATATTGGGGAAAAAACTTATTAACTTAGAAATAATACAAAAATAGACAATGGCTTTGGTGAACTTAAAACAAAAATGGAAGCTTGGTTTAAATCAATTACTAAAAAAGTATAAATGAATTGCATTAAATCACATTTAAACAGCTAACACACTTGTGAATGAACAAACAAATTAGCACTTTTCACATAGCAAAATTACACAATAAAATAAACTGGGATGCTGCAGAGAAAAAGCAATGTACAAAGTTCAAAGTTAAATACATTATTTATATGGGTATTTTACAAAATTTTTCATTAAAAAAGCTTTATTTCTTTAATTCAATTTGCAAGCATGTGCAATCATAAAGGTAGTGAGCTCATTTTGCAAAATATGCAGTAATTCTTGTAGATTTGTGTGTGGTTGAAAATCTATCTTAAGACATTTCATTGTATAAATAGAACAATAATTTGGCCAAAAAAAAAATCTACAGTATTTATTTATAACTACATACAAAATGCCACAGCAAAGGGGGAAAAAACCCAAACAGATTATTTAATGAATGCATTTGTAAAGGTTTGTTGCATCTTTAACTAAGAACACTTTCCAAGTAATAAGAGATAAATTCCTGTAAATTGGGTGGTTTATTTTGCAACTGTGATAACTTACTGTGTTCTTCACCCTTTTTCTCCTATACATATTCTCAAAAAATGCAACCACTTGTTGCTTAAGAGATTATGTTGCAAACTGAAACTTTGCCTGATATAAAAACAACTGCAGCTCAAACCAGATATGTCCTTTTTCCTATGTGTGTGCTTCTGGACCATCCTCTGGAATGGCAGGATGAATCCTGTATCTTGTCTTCCCTCCCTCCCCCCCCCCAGCCCATTCCGAAATGAAAGATACAGGTATCAGGAAAGAAGCTTCTAGTAAAAAATATGCTCCAAAATGCACGGAATGGCTCACTTTTGTGCCTTTATCCTGTCCTATTTCAATGAGATTTATAGAGAAAGACAGCTTGAACTGTATTTGGATTTAAGTTGGTTAAAAGCAAAAGACAGAGAGCCATGCTAATCGGATTTGCAGTTTTTAGCATTATATCCAGAGGCACTGGGTTTCCAAAGTAAAGATGGAAAATGCATGTCCATAGCTACACATATGCTTTTTTTCCCCCCTGCCTTGCAGTATTTACGCAATCTTCTAAGTACAATGTTGTCAAAAAGAGATGAGGAAGGATTAAGGGGAAAATAATTATGGCTTCTAAAATGAAATCTTTTTTGTATATGTGTGTATAGTGTATCTTTATGTGTAAGTTCACATGGATATCCATTGATACTTCCCCAGACTGCAACTCACAGATGTATGTGCTGTTGTTGGTTAAGTAAAATATTATGAAAACAACCCTTACTGGCACAGCCATTAATTTTTCAAAGGAAAGAAAAACATCAATAATCCCTAACTGGCACTTTTACTTCTGTTCCATAGAAACTCATGTTATGTGTTGCCACTTTATTTCCCTTTAAGACAGCTTTAAAAAACTACAACAAAGAAAAGTTCTCAAGTTGGCTTTTCATGTTTGTGCCTCTCCCTCCTGTTGTGATTTGTAAAAGAGAAAAGGTGACCAATAAAAACTGAAAAGACTGAAGCGTATTTTCTTCAGGACACAATTTTCTCTCCCAAGAACTTGGGATGGACAGCTCAAATTAACATCTTGCCCTTGCAGGCTCTGAGTAGATTTTAGAAATATTTTTCAAGGATAGCAATTTTTTTTAAAATTGTTGTGTGTTTTTAAACTTTGCAGTTATTGTGAGAGTCTTCCTTTTTCCTTGAAGAAAGGCCTGAGTTAAAAGTTCCTCTCTGGGACTTGGGTAGACTTTGTTCTGGAGCAGAATCCAAATCCTTCATTAGTCAATTCTTCAAAGCAATTCTTTCACATGGGAGGAACTATCATGCCAGATATAGCTGTAAAGATAAGAAGGAATGAGACACAAAACCAAATCAGTTATGCCATTTGGGGCAAGAAAAACAACTGTTTCAAATATTCAGTAGTAGATCATTCATCTGTGCTTCAAGTCGGATTTACACATTATAATGGGTAAAAGCTTAGAGAGGAAGAATAATAGCTGATGTTAGGCTTCATCATACTGAAGCCACACCCACCCCATTGCCGGCAATGCAAAAAGAGTCACGATACGTCGTGACACGTCACGTGACATGGCGAGTTTGACACCCATGCTCTAGAGTCACTTATTTCAGATGTAAAACTCTAAAGTATTAAGTAAGTGCTTGCAAGGAAACTGCAATCTATATGGATAGAAGTTGCATGCAGGCAAGTTAACATTCTTAATGAAGCTCAGTCTATAACCCTCAATCCAAAATTATTTAGCTGTTTGAATGTCAGAAATAACACTGGCAATCCTTAAGCTGATTGCAATATAAATTCTGATGAAGGAAAATTTAAATAATGAAGTTATCGCTTGGAAAAGATTTATTTTTTAATCTTGTGGTTCTTCTTTCAATTTGCCAAATAGAGTTCTAAAATCAAGAAAAGGGCGTTGACCAGCTGCATGCATAATATATAATTAGTATTTTCTGAAAAAGGAATTTTTGGAGATACCATGCAGAAAACTAAAAATTGTTTCACAGCTATAAATAACAATTGTCTATAAACTGTTGCCAGTTTGAAAACTGGTAAAAAAAACAATAAAAAGTTTTTCATCTATAACTGCTACTTAAATAAAAAAAACCTTCAAAGATCTAGCATTTTTCCAATTTCATACAGTAGCCAGATAGACCACTGGTAGGGCATGAAAATTGTTCCCTTTCCTATTGTTATTATCCTTTCTTGTATTTGATTTATTTTCTCCTCATATCTTTTATGCATGTAAAGATATATCCCTGCTCAATGCAGTTGCATCATAATGTTCTACAGGTCTAAGAAATGGGGTTATTTGAAACAAATAGTTTTACAGAGTTCGCACTGTATTTCTTTACAGACTAACAAAGGTACAATCTTTCAAAAGAAAGTAATTTGAAAGAATTCTGATTTCAACAGGATTGGCTCACATTCAGTTATTACAATAGATACATTTCATTTGCAAAGAAGCAGATCTGTGCATTATGCTAGGAGAAATCTACAGGAGATGATCTGGACTCACCTATTCCATGCAATATGAAAAATGACCTACTGCAAGCAAATATGTCGTTGCCACTGGCATTCACACATGGCTCGTGATGATGCCTATGACAGAACCATCTTTTAAAGTGCCATAAAGGGATATGGTAAATTCTGGACTTTAGACTGATGTCTTTCAAAGGTACATAGGTTAGAGCCACCATCTTAAACATCTGGGCAAATGATATCTTGGGGAAGAATTCAAACCCATGGCTGCTTCTAATTCTTGTATTTTACTTACATCTACAATAATTTGATAAGAACCAAACCCAAATGAAAGGGGATGTTTTTTTTTTCCACAGACATTACCATATGTGTATGAATTGCAAGACTAATCAGCAACAAAAACCAGCAATTTAGGTGAATGGCAACAGATAAATAAAATATGAGGAGACAAGAAAGCAAAATATATCTAAACGTTTGGAATCAAGCATGCTAAATGTGTGACTTATTCTGATAGCATAGTAAACATTCCCTTTGAAAGTAGAGTCTCCCTTGTTCAAGGCCACTTTTCAAATGCTTGGCAGGGTGGACATAGTCTTTATAGCAGAAGACTTTCTTTAACTTTTTCTGACTTTGTGATCCGATTAAGAATTCTTGGGTGAAAAGTTTTCAGGTTGCACTTTGGGCTATTTGTATCTTTAAATGCCAAATCTTTGAATTGTTTTAATAATAGTAAGTACTGGTTGCTAAATGCTGAAATTTAATATGTAAGTTGTTTTATTGCTTAAGGGTTGGAAGATTTTATTAAAGATTTGTGGATAGATATATTCTGTGGCCAAATTAATACTTCTAAGTCCAGATATGATTAATAACTGCAAGAGTTTGAGGTTTTACATCATACTGATAGTCCTTGGTTAAGGACTCAGCAATTCTTCAAACTTCCAGTGGTGCTAAACAGGGGGATTTATGACTGATCCTCAAAGTTATGGCTGCTATCGTGTTACATGGTCATATGATTTCAATTTGTGACCTTTCTTGCTAACTTCCAACATGTAAATGGGGAAACCAGCAGGAAATCAAAAGTCTCATGTGTCTTACTTAACAAACTACATAATCCTTGCTTAACAGTTGTAACTGGGGACTTCTGAAATTGTTATTGCTGAGAGTGGCATGGTCATGTGATATCACGTTTACAACTGCATTGATTAGATATTCTTTTTTCAGACATTGTTATCAATTTTCATTAAAATGAATTGGTTTCATTTTTTTTTCTTTTGAAGGACAACAAAATTTCAGCAAAGTAGATTATGATGCAGGTTTCCAGCATTTACTTTAGTTTTAATGTGGTTGATTTCCATTCATCTTGCCAGCAGTCTTCAGTTTCTTTGGTTTCCCGTAGTTCAATAAATCAATATTCTGATTCCTATTCAAATGCTTAGTTCTATCACAGTTAATTGGCAATAACAGTATATATAAATTGGCACACATCAGATAGGTTCCTTTAGATTTCCAATTACATGAGGTTCAGCTGCAGTTTATCCTTTCCACTCTTTCATTGATGTCTCAAGTGTTTTTGCAGCAAGCAGAAATCTAGGCAGTTGAGAACAGGGGCAGAAGCAGCTTCACTGCAAGGCGTAAGATAACACTGTCTAGTTTAGTTTGTCCATAATCCAAGCAGATTCACTTGACCAAATATATGGCTTGCGTTGACCGTGTTTCACAGTCCACTATTACGGTTAAGACTTTGGTTTCTTTTTTTCCCCTTTTTTGTCATTGTTAAATAGTTGGCAGCTTCAAGATCAACACACATTTAGCTGTGATTCTTCTTTCTATTTTTTCCCATGCTTTTTTAGTACAAGGCAGTTCTCCTTGGTCCTTTTAGCCAAGGAGATGCTTTTCCTATAGACTAGTGAATAAGTTGTAGATGAATCTTAATTTGCTTTAGCTCTTCTCTTTCTTGTTCAATTCCTGTGCATATTCCATTTACCAAAATGAAATGTGCATTGGATTTGTTTTCCATACCTTCTGTTCTTGAAGGGGAAACAATCTAATAAAATGCAACAGTGGATGTTGCATTTGTCTCTAAGAATAGTAAGTCCTTTCTGTTTATAGTATAGTATAGTATGTCAGTAACCCTCTCTCCCCAGAGGTGTTTGAGGCATCAGGGGATTGTGAGACCCTTCTTGACTAAGTGAGCATGAAATGTTTCTCTACTCAATGCTTTAGAATGTGGTAATGTGGTAATTATGAGGGGGTTATGCACAGTAGGGCAGCCCTCCAACAAGCCAAACTAAATAGTAAATCAGGAAATTGCTTTTATGATGTATATGGTCCACGTGTTAACTAGATAATTTCCACTTTTCTGACTTGTGGTCCAATGCACGTATGGCAAATAATTTTACTGCAAATTTCACATGGAACCCAATACTCTTTTTAATCAAATCTGCCCATAAAGATATTTGGTCATTAGAAAAATGTATTCAGAAATTGGAAAATTGAGGATGTTAAATCAACATTACCAATGCAAACCAAACAGGAACATGAAATTAGACATTAAATGAAATTTTATAATAATAATAATAATAATTTAATTTATATACCGCCCTTCTCCCATAGGACTCAGGGCGGTTCACAGCATATTTAAAAACAGATACTATACACAAATACAAAAATACAAAAACACAAAAATATAAACCCCAATAAAAACCGAATTAAAAACCAAATATTGACGGCTGTGTTTCCAATTAAAATTGCTGTTAAAATCAT